AGGTAGGTTGGACCTGAATCACTTCACAACTTTATAGAGAGCCGGATCTTCCCTGCCAAAACAAGGCACAGGTATTGCTCTAAATACTTAGTATCCATCCCATCATACTTAGCCTTGTATTAAGAGTTAATATGGATAAACTTCTCAACAAAAACATACATGAGAAGACTAAAAATAATTAAGGAGTAAGACGAGTTGAGCTTTTACCATAAATTGAAATCAACTCGTGGAATGATTTAAATTATTCTAAAAAAAGTTGAGGAAATGAGTTGATTTTAATCCATGGGAAAAGTTTGATTCGTTTCACCTCAATGTTCTTCTCCTATATGTGTTTCCAGAGAAGTTTATTCAAATGCACTAGAGCATACTGCATTGCAACAAGCAGAAGATAGATGTTGACCATATAAGAGACAACACATCCATTTTCACAATCAAATGCATGAGATAGAGCTTATAAGGAATCATTGTTTGACAGCATGTCAGTTAATATATTAAAATCAACCTACCTCTAACTGACTGAGCATCTCAGTGGTCAGATGTAAATCACATCCATTGGCAAAGTAAGCTTCTGCGAGGCTTTCTGCTGCAAAACCAGGGAACATGGAAGCTAAATACTCCAAAGGATTCATATCAGTATCATCCATAATTGCATTTTCAGCCAAAACATCATTTAAGTATCCATGTCCACTGTTGTCATCATAAGCAAGCCCACCTTGACCACTGCTAACAAGCTGGTCAGCGCTCCCAATTGGCCCCTCCCAAGGCTTTGCCAGAGCATTCAAAAAGCTTGTAGAAGATGGGTCCTCCCTGTAGCTTGAATGAGAAAACCCTATTTTATCCACAAAGCTATTGCCATTATTATGCAGTTGAGATATTTCCTCCTGCTCATTTATTATATATTTACTTCCTTTGGAAGAAGGAAACCTTGAGGCTTCATTGTCCTCATGTATGGATAAACCTGCTAAAGGAAGATCATCTAGACCTTGAGATTCATCTTCTCCCATGACCTTGAAATCAGGGGTAATATCATCAGGGAGCTGACATCGCCAGTATTGGTGCACCTCATCATCAGAATTATTTGAAATGGATGATTCTGATCTATCTAAAACTGCTTTCCCAAGAGCTCCAGCAGCCGAAAGCCCTGCTGTTGCATCTACCGAGCTGGTAGTTCCAGGTAATGATGATGATCTGAGGGCAAAAGGAATAAACTCTGCTGCATTTGGATTCAGAGTTGTTGCCTTGTTTGGGCTTAATAGCTTTGCATCCGTTTGGGATCCTTTCTTGGATAAGTTCATTATTAACTAGAATATGGACAAAATAACTACAACATAAACAGACTTTAAAAATAGAAACAGCACATGTCCAGTCAGCCTCAACCAAACCCTGAAAATGGTTCAATATCATCATGCTCATTGATTAACCAGACTGCTATAAAAAGAACAGGAAAAGGTAAAAAATAAAATCACCACAAATCCCATACATCGTACAATAGATAAATTATGATTTCAATAATATCCCATATAACATAAAAGTACCAAATAAATAACCCAATATAGAACTGCAGTTACAACTATTTTTAATATCACTGCAATGAACTATAGCTTGCCATTTTCGTCAGTTGGACTTAAAAGTGAAACTTATAAAGGTAAACTGAACAAAAAGGGAACCAGCACAAATTACGGAAATTATAGTAAAATTTACACACACACAATTAAGTTCTGGCGAACGCTGACCAGATTCAGAATGGCAGAGCAGTATAAGATTAAAACCCTAAACATCTCGAACTAAATAACTTAAAATGTCACAGAAAACAACTTCTAATAGAAATTAAACAACACCGATAATTCCCCGACAGTAACTACATAAAACCCCCAATAACACAAGGTAAAGCACCAAAAACAAAAACCTAGAAATTTGAAACCCGAATTTCACACTAACATCAAACAAAACAGAAGCAGCAACAATCGAATCAAAGCTCGAGCGCACAGAGAACGCAACCTCCAATACGGCAGCCAGGAGCTACAGAAGAGATCTCGAGCAATTCAAGGCCTCAGAAAGCAGACTCAAAAAGCACATAACAACAGGAACAACAGCAATTGAAGACAAAAAAAAAAAAAACAAATTCATGAAGGAGAAAACGAGAGAAAAAGATCTGAAAGAAATGGAAAAGTGTAAACGAAAAAAATATTGAATACATATATTTATACCTTCGCGTATCAAATCGAAGGGATCCATGGAGATGAGACGAAGAAAGAAGAGAAGAAAAAAGTGAAGGTGATTGTGTTATTTAATATTGCAAAAAATTGAGGTTGGGATTATCCAATATCATCTCCAGTACGAGTATGATTATCGGGTCGGGCTTCTTCTTCTTCTCTCTCTTAAGTCTTACCTTACCTCTCTCTTTTATTTCATTCTTTTTTTAATTTCTTTTTTCTCTCTGTGGATTCTTTTTCGAAACCTCTTAGCCAATACTATAGCAGCAGCACCAGCACCACAAAAATAAGACACCGAACCTTTGGCCACTAGATTTCACCCTTCTCTCTATAAAATCACTCTTTACTGTACACACTGTTCACTGGGATTTCGCCACAAAAATGTTACCTTTAACTTCCATGCAGTTAATGTTTTTTCTCCTCAGAAATTATATTTGTCAATATTTTTTATTTCCATATTATATTATACCTCTTTGTATTAAATAAAATACTTTAAAAATAATCATAAACCCAGTCATTATTAATCATTTTTAAAAAAATTATCACTGCTGATGAATAAAAAAGACACATGCTCTTAATATTTATTAGAGAGAGAAAAGGATAGAGTAAAAAATACAGAATGTCTTATGAAAATAATAGTTTATATTTTATAAAAACATGCTTATAACATATAAGAGGAGTATTTGACACTTAGAAAGGATAGAGAGAAGATATATTGAAAATAAATTATAAAAAAAATATCTAGTTATTTCATAGAGTAAAAATCGGTGAAAAAGATATTAAAATTAAAATTTTGAGTGATTACATTCATTTAAAACTTTATAGTTAAAAAATATGGTTAAATATAATTTTGGTCTTTTTATTTTTAGTAAAAATTGAAATTATTTCATTTTAATAATTTTTAACTAGTTTAATTTTTATGTTTAAATTTTTTTATTTAATCTTTTAATCAAATTTTATTAAATTTAATTAATATTTCAAATTTCTCGTTAACTAAAAAAATACATTTAAAATAATAAATAAATTAACTAATATTTTTGTCAAAATGATTAAATATATGTATTTGTAATAATTTTAAAGGTTAAAGACTAAATTAAACTAAAATTTTAAAAGTTAATTTGTTAAAGATTAATAAACTAAAATATATTTAACCATATATGTGACAATATTAATTAGGTTTTATAAGATGAAATGGTGATAGAATACAAACAAGGTTAAAGTTGACTTATTTGTTTTACCAATTACATTTGGTGTGTTTACTTTGTGTAGATATTTAGGGTAAGTGTCTCGCTTAGGTATACACATAAATTCCATGTTATGCCGTATTAAAAGTCAATTTCATTCCATAGAAATCGCATTGACTTATATTCAAAAAACAAAGAAAATTGTTCGAGTGATTGATTATAAATACTTTTTTTTTCTCTATATACTTTTCAAAAGTTTTAGTTCTTTAAACAAAAATTAACCATTTTTTTGTTGTTAATTGTAAATATTTATCTCTCTAAAACTACTTCTTATAAATATAATGGGTGTTGAATACTAAAACAATTATGAATATCATAAATTTAGGTTCTACTAATAATACCAATTATATAAATGAAACCATTATTAGATGGTAAAAATTAGTAGAAATTTCTCCACCTTGATCATGTGCAACATATTATTGTAGCCGCACAGGAGTGTCATTATGTGTATTAAGAAAGTTTTTATCATAAATCAAATATTAATCTATATAATACTCGTTCTCTTCAAACAGAGAAAACAATTAATATTAAATTAAGTAATTTTCGTTTTGTATTCTTCATCCAACTTCATACATTTACATTAATAAAACAGGTTTATCTATTGAACTTTCAGTCAAAGAAAACTATAAATATTTGTGATGATGATTCAGATCCGATCTAACATCAATTATAAATTATCAGCCAAATCTGATCAGTGTTATGTACTCAATCTAAAAACAAAAACAAACTCTGTAATGTCACAGTGATAAAATCAAATCAAAGATCTAACCAATTATGGCGATGACTGATTTGAATCATGGACACGGCACAAAAACGTGTTAGTTACAAATTAACAATGGCAGTGCTGAGAAAAACATTCTTCATAGTTATCAAAAACCTTTGTCAGTTTCTTCCTAGACACGAAAGTTGTTCTCATCGTTTGCAGTGCCACGGTTCGGCTCGTTTAGCCTTATTTTGCAAAAACAAAGGTTTTTCAACAAGCTAAGACACGACTTTTTATTTTGTTTATAAGCACAAAAACACCATCGGTTTACTTGTATATATAGAAAAGAAAGAAAATCAAGTTCAGTTCTGTTACGGAAATAGAAAAAAAAATGTAAAACGGCGTAAATGACTAAACTAAAGCATTTGTGTTCTGAATGGTAACGGTGTTCCTGTGTGACTAGAAAGGAAAGTATCAAATATGCTGTTTTAAAATATATTTTTTTTATGTTTGCAAGAATATTACTTATTTTTTCTATTTTATGAAATAGTTAAAATGTATAAATGTAAGAAAATAATGGAAACAAAAAGTTGAATATCTGGGTAGAGGATGAAATCTAGAATAATGAAGTGAGATTGAATTTAGTACAAGAAGTACCTGCAAATTAGTAAAAGTAAAGACAAAAAAAATGGTATTTAAGGGAGGTTATTTTGCGGAGGTTATAAAAACCCTCCGCAAATTAATATGATTTAATTTGGTTCTATTGAATTGTCAAATGCCTAATAATATCGGAGGTTTTAAGTTTTTTTTAAAGAGGTTCATAACTAATCAAATTATAATACATTTTTCTTTTTATTTTTTTTCGTTTTTCAGTCTTTTCCTTCCAAAATTTTATCTTACTTTATTTTTTCTCCAAATTCCTAAACCTAAACTTAACTTCATCAAACACTTCCTTTTTCTCATGTTCATCTACACTCTTTGAGCCGTCTTCCCGTCACAGCCATTCTCGACCAGGAAAAGCGTAATGACAACCCGCTGTAAACTGCTGAGAAGGTGATCTTGTAGAGGAGCTTGATGTCGCCTGTCATGAAGGTGGTGAGGAGTTCGGGGTCGACGTTGGACTAGACGAGGGAGTCGCAGACTTGGGAGACGCATATACAGTCAAAGGGGTTTTCAGTTCTACGTTTTCCATTTTTGATTCAAAACTCAAATCTTAAAACTCTTCCCCAAACCTCTCTTTTAGGTTTAGGTTTCATGTTTCAGAGGCTTTACCTTTCACTAGTGTCCTTAAATTCGTGAAATCATAAAACCCTAATCGAAGATGAGACAGTTCTCAAACGCCTCCGCACTTATCGCGGCCACAACGGTATCGTTTGGTGTTGCAACGCCTTTCCATATTGATTTCACTTCCAATTCAACTTTTCAAAATTGTCTCTCACATTGATTGTTAATGGTGCAGGATATTCTGGTTAACTCATAACAAGGAGTGGGGATTATTGCTGCCCTGTACGTGTTTGATGAAATTCCTAGGTTGAGTGCAATACATTTTTGTTGCCCACCATCGTTCTTCTAATAAGAAACGCATTTTTATAGTGTAAGTGCTTTGTATGCAAATTTTGAACAATGTTACACCGTATTTTGGAAGTAGTGGTTGATGGGACAGTAAGGGATGTATGGATCCCTCTTAAAAGAGTGCATTCTGGAGAATTAAGACTTCGAATATCAATTAGAGTGGATGACCAAGAAGGACCGAAGGTGTGCTTATTCACTTTGAAATTAGTGATTCTTTCAACCATTTAGTCATTTTACTCACAACTTTTTTTCACTACTTGGATATTCATGTTAACAATTTTCATGTACAGGGTTCGGGTTTTGGCTCAAGCAATGGTTGGATTGAACTTGTCCTGGGAAGGGATTGTTATTGTCTATCTCAAAGGCATAAGTGATCCATATGTGAGGGTACACTACGAAAACTTTAAGAAATAGACAAATTTTATAGTAATGACAATGAATATGTTCAATTGGCTACAAACCATTTAGACGAGGATATCAATTAGTCAAATGTATAATTGACTCATGGTTGATTTCTTAAGGTGATGATATGTACCACATGTTTGATTTCTCAGTTTCAGGTTAAGAAGAAGTTACCTTTTCTGAATTGTGACTCTTTATTAGCTCGTTCTCTCATTTGGAAAGGTAATAAGATCCTAACTCATTCATATGTGCGATGTATTTGGCTGGATGGCATAGATTATCATTCATATGTGCTATTGTTATTTCATAATTGATTTTCTTGAATCTGATTGCATAAGATGAACTTGTAAATTTTACAAAGTTAATTATGCACAAGAAGCATGTCTATGCACAAGAAGCTTCAACAGCTAAACTCTTTGCTACTCCTTTACATGGATCTCCGAATGTATTAATTGATAGTTCAATTCTACAACTGCTTGATCCAATGCAGCCCTGTTAAAAGATGCTCTTTAGAGTAAGTATAATCCGAATGGAAAATTAGCTACTGCAGTTTCCATGTTTAAAATTAGCTACACAAAAGACATGTATGAACTTCTTATTTAAAGAAAAAGCAAGGATATCACCTTCTGCACAACGGATAGAGCCTTATTGCTACTGCAGTTTCCATGATTAAAGTTTCCACAAGTCCCATGAGGTGTTCCAAAACTTGCAAATTTAATGGAGGAGATCACCTGATTAGGATAAGGGCATTCCAGTAACATTAGTAGGCTTTTCACCACATTTTTCAAGAAGACTAGTTAGAGTTAGGGTGTAGAAATACCTTTACCTGATTTCTTTTCATCCAGTTCTTGCTCAGAGTTATTTCCAACAACATTATTATAGTCTTCTTGTATGACAAACATGTCATTAATTTATTTATCTTTCTCCTCTGTTTCTCTCTATCTGTCTTTCTTTCTTATTGTAAAAAATTGTGTCATCTTTTGCTGGGTATGAATAACTTTCCAATTAAAGATGATGTTCTTTTCCTAGCTAACGATAAAAATGTGAGTTCTTTGTGGTTATGTACTGACTAAATATAGGTGAACTTAATAACATAATAAAGGTTAAGATATAAACATTTAAAAGAAATAATAAGTAAAAACTATCTACTAGGTGTCCTACATCCCACTTATGTATAATTATTGTTAGGAAATTTACTTAAGATTTAACAGCACCCATGAAAAAAAATCCAAGTTTGATACTGTTATGTAGATATAAATAGGAAAATAATGTTAGTTAGAGTTAGGAAGCCAAAAAGTTGCTGCTACTGTAAACTACAAAGGGACTATGAAGACTATAAAATTGCTTTTGCTACTAAAATAGTTAGTTTATTCTTTAACACATTGCAACCTGAAATACAAACTCAAAAACTAACTAGATATTTGCAAACTATAGTGCTCATTAATACAAATAGGATTGCAAACACGATTGACCGTGTAGAAATGTACTGATATATCACCAGACTATCAATATCACTGGTGCACGTAATGTAAGTAGAATCGAAACCAAGTAGTATAATTCCAGCAAAATATTGCCTGATTTAATGAAATATAACTTTTAATGTCTTCGGACTTTGTAACGTGTACTGTACTTCTTGATTGAGAGGGCATATCACATAATTATACTAAAACATTATCATATAAATATAAATGTAACAAATCATTTAGAACATATAACTATTTAACAACAGATATTCAATTATTATATATATTTATTAAAATTTTATCTATTATAAATTTTTTATTCTCATGTAACATTAATTGAATCATGCTCCAATTAAAGTGCAACTAACTGGCACATTATTATACCTAGTGCATGAGCTACACGTCTTGTGGTTAGAAAAATTAAATTACATAATGGAATGAATGTGGATTACGATAGTAGCAGGACAACACTATATCAAAGTGAGTGTATATAGGCATGCACATATATATATATTCATTACACAACATTTGTACTGTATTTTAATTTCGATACATAAGATGATTTTGACTCAAGTATGTATATCTGTATTTATAGTTTGTAGCTGTTGTCCTCAAGTTATAAATTCGTTATACATAAGATTGATTTTTTAGAACATGTTTATTCTATTTGATTGATTTTTTATATATTATTTTCAAAATGTGAGCACATGTAATTGAGTTTATTTTATTAATATTTTTTATATTATTTCAGCAAGCTCGTGATGCATATGAGCCAGAGTCTTCTTTGGGAACAAGACAATCATCTTATGGAAGTAACTTTTAGGAAGTTTATGATATTGTTTTAGGATAAAACTATACTTAGTTTATTATGAATTGGGTAACATTTCTTTCTTTGTAATTATTTCTGCAATAGGATTACATTGACTTCTAGTCTATCCTTCTGAAACATACTATTGTTTCTCAATTTATTTTTCTAAATTCCTTCCTACTCAGGGGTTTTTGTTCTATGGTATCAATTTTTTATTCAGAGGAATCATATTTGTTTGGTATTTAATAATTTAAAAAAAATTAAATTTACTTAATTTTGAAATTAAAAAAAAAAGAAGAAAAGAAAGAAATTGGTGAAAATAGGTAGTTATTATATATTTTAATAATCATTAAACAAAAAACGATATTATATATTTTAATAATCATCAAATAAAAAAACTGACAAAAATATAGAAAACTTTTGTGATCAAATAGTTGAAAATAAAGGAGGTTAAAAACCCCCACAAAATAATAGTCAGTAATAGAGGAGGTTTTTACCCTCCGTAGAAAAACCTCCGCAAATTGAACACGATACCAGGGGTCGCAAAAAACCCCCGCAGATAGTTTGTGGCGACTCAAACTGCGGCGGTTTGAAAAACCCCCGGAATTTATTTTGCGGAGGGTGAAAACCCCCACAAATCGAAAAAAAAACCTCCTCTAAATAACCTTTTTTTTGTAGTACGCATTGTAAGGATATTGCTGTGTCAGATTCGATCTGAAAAGTAAAAATATCCTATTCTCCTAAACTTTATGGGAGCACCTACACATAAATTATTAAGTTTAAAAAATAAAGCTTTTAAAATTGTATGAAAATTGTTATAAATTAATATTAATTTTCAAATAAGTTTTTTCTCGATAATAATTCTTTAAAAAAATTGGCCAAATATAATCATTAATTATATATATAAATGATGACACATAAGTCTCGTTATAGGTTTAATTATACATGAACTCGTACTTAGTTTAAATAATTATTAATCATACATAATCCAAGTAACAACAAACGAGTAACATATCATTTACTTATTCGTTAATACGAATCACCGTAATTATTGTTGATATTTTAATAATTATATCAAACACATTTATTGTCTATCAAAGACACCAGATAATTAAAGAAAATATTTTAAAATATTATAGAACTTAATAACTTCAAAATTTTGATATTAATATTTGTCCTGTTTTTCAATATATACATTATCATTGAATTGTCTTACAAATTTGTTTTTAACTCGGATTCACATGTGATGGGTAGTATTGTACACGTCCATATAATATCTTATGGTTTTTCACTCCATAACAGTCAACAAAAACCTATATTTGCTTTTCAATATTTAATACTTCAATTTATACAATTTAGTTATTAGTGAAATTATTATTATCTCGTCCTTATATTTTGTAACTCGATAAGTATTACTATCATCTTATTAGATACGAAATTATTCACGTCATAATTATTTTTCTCGCGCAAAAAAAAAAAAAAAATATATATATATATATATCACTTCAAAAGTCAAAATTAATTATAAAACATCAAAATGATTCAATAATCAACATAACTAATTTAGGTGAAATAAAACATTAGAAATATAGAATACAAGTATAACTGGATATCTATCAAAAAGTATCAAATAAATAAGTATAAAATAAATAAGGAAACAGATATAAAAGTATTATAAAATAATAATTCACTTGAAAATTGTTATCACAGCTCAACTATAAGAGACTTAGAATAATTGTGTCAGTAGAGATTCTTCAATTTTGTCTAAAAAAAAGTATATAAAAATATTTACAATTTTCGCTAAAAGAATTGCTTTAAAATATTTATAATTTTGTTCGAAAAAATTACATAAGAATTTTTGTTAACAAAAAAATTGATGAAAAATTTGTTAATTTTTTCAAATATAATAAAAATATATTTTAAAACTATAATACACTTTATTACTTTAATCCTCCTTGCATTTAAAAAAAAATCCAAAACACATCAATTACTTATTTATCACCTTAAGAATCAAAACACAATTATCAACCACTTTAAAGTTAATACAGATACTTAAATATCTATCATCTCAATTCTAAAACATAAATGATATGTTTTTAAAGATAAAAAATAAAAATAAATAAATAAATAAATTTTAAAGCTAGAACCTTTAAGTAAATGTTATAGTCATCCTCTCTAATACTTAGTGAGCCCCCAAATAAACGGGATAGTAATGATTGTCTTTGGTAAAAACTTTTAACTGCTATTGACACCCCTCTTATCTTACAACTGATCACTTTTTTTTTTGTACAGTTCAAAAGTCCTGATTTGTTGAAACTTGATGAATTTTTCAATCTCAACCTACGATTTATTAAGTTTATATTCAAATAATTAATTTATGTTTTAATTAAATAATTTAATTCAATATACTACTATCATTATTAGTATTGTTTAGGTTGTTACAAAAATGTAGAAGGAATATAGTGGTATCAAAACATCTTTTCCCCCAAATCCAAAAGAGAAGTCTAGTTTTTTTGATATCCCCCTATCCATAATATTATTCTCACTCTCTACTCAAATATTCTATTAGTCACACAATTCTTATACTTATTTTTCAATACATAATTAATTAGTTATTGAAACTTAAACACATATTAAATATAATTAAGACTTTGTAATTAATTCACACATTAAGACAAACAAATACATTCTTACAGCCCTTATCAATTAAATGATGACTTGTCTGATTTTTAAAACATTTCATTTTATTTTGATCAATTTAACCATCATTATCTTATATGGGGTTAGTTGCAATTAGGTAACAGATAAGAACAAAAAATATGTAAAAATTTACTTTGATATATTATTTAGATAAAAACTCTTTGTAATTTTGATGATTATTTGGATATAAAAAGATTGATTATTTGTGAGAGTGAGAAAAAAACAATTAAACTCACTTGCATTATGGTTTGTGGCTGTTAATCAGTCATAATTAAAATTAAGATCTAATCTTTTTTTGACAAAACTTTTTTTAGAGGGACTGTAGATTGATCAGAATCTCCCAGGCAACAATTTGTTTTTATTCATAAATAATATTATTTTTGTTTATAAACACCATTTATGTTACATGGTACAAATATTGCTCTAGTAAGAAAACATGTTAGATATTATTACTAAGAAAAAGACATGATAAATTTTTTAAAAACGGGTAAATTTAAGAAATAGGTTGTGGGCATCCACACCGTAGACAATATTTCAACAATAAATTTAATACCAATTACCATTTTTTTTTATAAAAGGGTGAAAAGTTAATTACTAAGGTGGTAAAAAATATTAAATAAATTTGGATAATAAAAATATATGTACAATAATAATAATTTTAAAAATAAAAAAAAGTAGACCTTGTAGTATACTATACATGCTATAATAAAATCAATTTTATAAACAATTTAACTTCACATATGATATTTGTGCATGTTAGGGGTCATTCAGGAAAATGACAGTACCACTTTTTTTCTTCCAACTAATTTTGGATTTATATGAGTCTTGTCCAACACTCAATTATTATGATTACTTTAATAATATATGAACAATAAATTATATATATCAAATTCAAGGTTTTCGATCATTAAATTTTTTTTTTGTAATTATATAATTTTATAGACAAAAGTGAACAATTTATAATTTCAAGTACTATTGTTAATATCAATGTGATTATTTAATTTGTAACGAAAATGACCATTTCTCATCTACTTTCCATTTAATTAGAGTTATTTTAAGAAGTATTATTTTATTCTTAACTCAGCTCAGCTATATAATCAAAGCAATTTTAATGTTACTTTTCATTACTACTGAAGGAATAAAACTGTTTTAAATTAATTTTACTGTCATATGTGTTCTCCGTACAACTAAATTCATATTTATTTTGATATTATCATGTGTAATTATTTTCAAAAGCATATTGTACAATAATGTTTTTATGGCACTAAAAATAGGTTTTCATGATTTTGTTAACTAATGATTTAGGGAGGACATCTTTATTGTATTTCATAGTTATATTTAATTGCACAGTAACGAGTTTTAGTAAAATCATTTGGTAACAAAAAATTAAAAACCTGGCTATTGCAACTAGGTTTACATTAAACATAATAACCCAATTTAATTGATTGAAAATATCATATAAGAAATTATATAATGGTTGGATCTATTTCAAAAGTATTCAGTTCGTAATGAACTATATGGAGATCTGGAACAGTCTTTAATTGAACTGCATGTATATATATTGGTTTCTATGATAGATTAACAAGATTTCATTAAAATACAACAACAAATGCAACCATTCCTATCTAATTTTTAATTCAATTATTTTGTTTTAGCTAATCAGTGCCATAAAAAGAACACATGTTTTAAAACATTATCCACTCTTTTAACCATTTAGTTAAGGAGATATACCTTTGCTTAAACATACTAATACAAAAGTATAATTAAAACAAGAGTTTTGGTAACCAATGACCATAAGTTAAAATACGATTTATATTTAAAAAATATAAAGAATTATTTGAAAATATATTAAAAGTTATATTTATACACGTTATTTCAATAATACTTTCATTTTTTATTTAGTATTATCTTTCCTAATTACAATCTTGAAATGACGATACTTTTCACTCAATTTATTATTAAAATGTCAAACATTAGACAAATTGCTATCATTCTTCATGTGATATTTATGCTTGTATATTTTAATTATTTTTATCTAAATAAGTTAATTTTAAAAATTATAGTCTTTAAAAAAGATTTAAAACACACACACACACACATATATATATATATATACTATTTTAAATAAAAATAAAATAATTATAATTTAAAACATAATTATATATAAATTAAATATATTTTCATTCTTAAATTATTATAAAATTTGTATCATCTTAGATATTCATGTGAGATTTGATATTGTGGGTATCTCAAAATTTATCAATAATTTTTATATTCTATTTTTAAATTAAATTATAAAATATTTTGTTAGTTAGATCATACTAAATTCATGTAAAATAATTGTGCAATCATTTTGTTATAATTAATATATAACTATTTGAAAAAAAGTTCACCTATTTAATAAAGATATATTTCATATAACTTTTATAACATATAAAAGTTAAATATTTTATAATTTAGTTTAAAATAACATAATTTATTATAATAATTGAAACAAGAATATCTAATTTTATATTTTTATTATTACAAAATAAAGTTAAAAAAATAATATCAAATGTGATTATTTTTGGAACTGAAGTTTCACTTATTCGAGAAGAAATATTTTTTTATTTAAAATGTGAGAATAATTATCTGTGGATTTCACGTGTTCAATGTAGTTAGCAAGGTAGTTGTCATGACAGCTGGCAATTTCAATAATATCGCACTCCCACCTGGGCTCCCAACTCCCAAGAACCCCACATCTATTGTCCCACACACTCCACAGCCAAACCTAGTCATTATCGAATCCCATAGCTCCACGTGGTGCCCGGTTATTTTATCAAGGTCACCCATCCAAGGTGTGCACAGATATATTCCCTGCACAACCACCACAGTGGAAAAAAAAACATTACCTGGTTCAAATGCTAACTTTATCTACAAATTACACAAAATTGCCAATGATTGGGAGTAGAAAAATTAAGGTTCGTGATTTAGGTTAAAACTCTGAAAACTATAACGATTTAGTATTAATAAGAAAGATGGTTTTAGATAGATAGTAGTACTTATCACCATTCCATCCAGCTATCCACACACTGCACTGTAGTGTTCAGAACTCCCTAAGGCAAAGACAACACAAGAAACAGATACACAGATCTAGATGAAAGAGCAGAAGGGGCGCATTTTCTCTCATTAGATTCGATTCGCCTTGGAGCCAATTAAGGCTCTGAGATGCACCATAATTCATTTGGGGTTCTGCTCTTCGGTGGCGAAATTCAGTGGGAGAAGGAGCGATAATTCCTCACTCCAATATATATACAACATACACCACTACTATCATTTCAGTTTATCTGTGATTTCAATCCTGCATGTCCACAACAGGGTAAAGCTAATGCTTCTTAAATCTGAAATATCATTTTTTTTTAGTCCAAACACTCCAGGACTGTAACCGAAGACCCTGATTAGTATTATTTTTGCATCCTAAATTATTACCATTAATGCTGAATTTTCAGTTCAAAGTTTGAACATTTTGTGGTCTTAACTTTGGTTGTGCTTTTTCTTTTCAAAATGATGTGCCTCAGGGTGATGGCAGCGACAGAGAAGACTGCGACGGTGATGGAAGCGGAGGTGCGTTCGGTGACGTGCTACTGTTGCGGGCTAACTGAGGATTGCACTGCGCTTTACATTGACGGCGTGAAGGAGAGGTACCAGGGTCGTTGGATTTGTGGGCTGTGTGCTGAAGCAGTGAAGGAAGAGGGTTTGAAGTTGAAAGATGTTGATGTTAACACAGATGAAGCACTGAAGCGCCACATGAAGTTCAGATCTTTTGCTTCCAGTCCTCTCAAAAAACCCACCCAAGACTTGATTCTTGCAATGAAACACCTTCTTTTTCGATCTTTGGATTCTCCCAGGAAGGATTCTTTGACCTGTTCGCCACTGGCTAGTTCCCACAAATGTTTTTCACCTGGATCCTCGAAGGGAGAGCCACAAGAGATAATCACCAGGGAGTAGTATCTGCTGACTTCGTGCATGCAGAGGAAAACTTTATTTACTTATCTTGAATAATTTAGTAATGCTTAATTTTGTATTTCTCTGTCACCTTGTTGTTTAGATTGAATAATTGGTCTGTGTTTTTGTGACATTTTAAAACTGAATGGATGATTTGGCAGGAGTCTTCCTCCTTCCTTGACTTCAGTTTAAATGTCATGAATCTCCCTTCTTTGTCTGTGTCTGTTTGACCCAGTTTAGACCAAGTATGACACTGTTTTTCAATGTTTAAACAAGTTGCACGATCATGTGTCTGTGCTGGTAATGTGTGTGTGCAGTTTCTGATATTTCTCCTTTTTACTTTTCTTGAATGTTTATGCAACTTTTAATAATGAATTTTCTTGTCTTCCGAGGGTCAGACACCAATAACAGCAAGCTACCTTTTTAGTTTTACTTTAGAAACTGTTATATCATCGGACTATTCTAGTATCACCATTTAAAAATGTCGAAGAGAATATACTAAATCTGAATCATCATTTTTTTTTGTTGTTCTGTTTTGTCATTGCTTTCATTTGAGAATTTCGGCATGTTCTGTGCTCTAACAACTAGAGCATAGTGGCAGAAACAAATCAATGTGTTACTTGCATAGTTCCAAAGTTATTCCAAATGCAAAGGTTTCATCAGAAAAAAAAAGTAATTCTTTTTTACAACTTCTGTTTCCAAACAAATGTAATGGTGCATCTACTTGCCAGATTTGGCAAGGCATGAGAAATATCTTGAGTGTCAGGACTCAGGGGCACCTTTGATGGTATGGTCTAATCCATGGGAATGGGAAATGCAGATTTTTTATTAGGGGATGGAAGATGGGTCCTTGTGCACAGTGAGTCAATGAATTTTCAGAAAGAACATTTACTTCATAGGTCCACTACTTGTACAAGTCGAAAAGAAGTTAGAAAGTGTGCTAAAAAAATAATCAAACAACCCTGCAATTTTATCTCCACTCTGTTTCGTCCCCTTCTTCGTTTCGGCATGGTGCATACTGTAGAATTCAAACTCAAGATCGTGCTTTTGGCATTGACAGACCCATTTGTTTTTCTTTGTTAGTTTTTGCTGCATCAATAATGGTTTGCCAATGTGGCACTACTAATAAGAAAACAATAGAGAATTGCTATCATAAAAGTTTGGGTTTCTTTAGTCATCTTCTGCATCAATGATGGTTTGTCTATGTTTATAATGTAAAAAAAAAAGTTTTATTTTGGATTTAAAATGTATTCCAATAACAATGAAAACTTTAAATGATGTACTTTTTAAGAAAATTATTGTTTCTTCAAAAATGTAAAAATTATAGGTTTATATATGTACTCACAAAAAAAATTTATATTCAATTCTCTAACTCATTGGAGCAAAATAAACTACAACCATTATTTTTGTAATTATTAAGTGTTTATGAATAAAAATGGAGAAGAACAATGTGTGATGGATTTGAATTATTTAGTGCAAATTACTGTATTAACAAATAATATTTATTGATCAACAAAAATTGTGCATAGTGATAAAATAAGAAGTGAAACTAGCATGTGATTAATGTACTTTTCTAGTTGAATGTCTCTTCTTAGAGTTTATTACATACCACTATCACTATTCTTATTAAATATCAACTATTAAGCATAGTGTAAAATGTGCACATATGCACTTATAACCCGTCTACTTCACCTTTTTCTATGATTATATAATTTCTATATATTATATAATTTCTATATATTTCTACTTCACTTTAGTCTATGATCATATACTTTTTATTCTAGATGCTAACAAAAACAACATATAACATTTCAATAAATTGTTTATTTGATCAACTAAATTTTTTTGATTTAACATTAGGTTGTGGTAAATTAATCAAAATGAATTTTTTGATCAAGTTAGAGAACTCGTGATATATATTTTACTTTGAAAGAAAAACACCTTATTCTCTCAATAATAAGAAGATTTTCTTTTTTTATAATTCAGGATGAGTAAAGAATAATTTATATTTTATTATTTATAAGTATGAGTTTACTTCACACACCTTATTGTGTTACTGAAAAAAGAAAAAAACACAATTTATTCAATTAGGGTATTATACAATCTTTTTGCTTACCATGTTTTATTGTTCTCATGGAGAGAGTAAATTAATTTCCTTAATATTAAGAATTATTTTTACAAGTATTTAATTGCAAGAAACCTAGTAATCAGTTAGACCTAATTAAATCAATCCATCAAAGTTTACTTTTGTAACTGGTATACTTGACCTTCTTGATTTATAAAAGTTATAGCAAAAATACTTAGTGTGTGTGGTTTAACTGGAAGATATTGCAAATCAAACTTCAAAATAAGCTACGATAATAAACTTTTAAAACAAGTTATTTTTTGTTTTCATTTAAAATAAAGTTATTTTTTGTTTTCATTTAAAATGAGATATTATTGTACTCTTATAAGTACTATTACCCTCCAAAAATTAAATTAGATTTCCTAAATTTCCATTGTTTGATTTACCTGTACTACCATTTGAACTTCCATTAGCCTGTTATTTTGTGCAGTACAAGGTTCTTTCATTTCATTTATGTACTACCAGTTTTGTATGTTTGAAATTTCACAAATAACTTGTAGCATGAAAAGCATCGCCCAGTGAAAATGATGGACATTCAGAACTTAACCTTTCCTTCAAGGATTAGTATAAGAAACCTAATTAATACAATCATTTATTCCACTTTTAAATTTAAAAATAATTATTTTAAATAAAAAATAAAAGACAAAAAAAGAAGAGGAGAGAACGAAAAAAACTACCTAGGATTCAAAAAAAAGCATTTGACAGACAGGTAAAAAGGATAAGGAGAACAAGACAGCTATTAAGGTCATTTTAGGAATTCAAAGAGTTGTCACAAAAGCTTTACAAGAAAGAAGGTCCAAGACAACTAATTGCATTGCATAAGCCTTATTAATTTGTTCTTGTTGTTTATAGCTGAACACTTCATCTATTTTTGCAAACCCTTGAAATAAGAAGTCGTCGGCGAAGATGATGCACATGACCTTTTACTGGAGCCGGAAGGTGAATCTCCTGATTGATTCCTGGCAGACCGAGGATTGGACCGATTATCTTCTCACCCTTCTTGCATGCCTCATCGTTTCCGCTTTCTACCAGTTCATTGAGAATCGTAGAATTTGCCTCAAGCTCATCGGCGCTGGAAAACCCTTCCCGTCGGAGATCCAGACCCCTCTGTTAAAGCGGAAGCTCACCGGAAACGGGGCCAAATTGGGCGTGAAGGTCGCTGGGGCGATTCTCTTTGGGCTGAGCTCGGCCATAGGGTATTTCTTGATGTTATCGGTTATGTCCTTCAACGGAGGGGTCTTTGTGGCCATCGTCTTGGGTCTCGCTGTTGGTTACTTTTTCTTCAGGAACGAGGGTGAAGATTCCATTACAGTAGACACTTCTTGCGCCTGTGCTTAAATTCAGTCACTTTTAAATCTTTCAATCTTCTCAGCTGAAAACCGTACTTGTTGTTTATTATTCCCTGTTTTAATTTAGTCCTATTGATTATGGATATGTAATTTCATGTATGGATATGTAATTTCATGTATGGAATTGTAATTAAATATAACTGTGATAATGGGAAGTGGGAACCCTTGATTGATTCTAAAGTTTAATATATTTTTCGGCAGCTTTTTATTCCCAGGAAAATCCTTGTGAGAAAAATGATTTCTTGAGTTCTTGTAGTTATATAATTTTTGGTAGAGTTGAAACTGTGAAGGGAAGGAATTAGATGAACAAGGTTGAAAAATGGATTATGTCATTTTTCGAACAGTTTTTGTCAGATTCCTTTATTCTGTTGGAAAAAGCTTAAAAATAGGCAGAAGATTCGTTGCATAAGTGGATATGTGGCTATTGCAGTAGTCTTAATTTTAGGTGGCTGTGTTTTTTTTGGGAATCAGAGATCCTATCCCTTACAAATATCAATACTAAAGCACAGACTAAAACACCTTGGCTTGAATATCTTGTGGTGGGCCAAGAACTACCTATATCAGCGCAAAAACACTACTTTATAACGGAGAACCTCTTTGTAGCTGACAGATTTTAAAAACAATTGGACATAAACAAAATCTGTTTTTCATTCTTAACGCGTAGACAGATATGTATGAAGTTGTCGACTAAGCAATTGTCAATGTGATATCCATCTTTTATATGTAGCAAAATCTTGATATGCTCGCATGTTTGCCTCCATTTAATTGAGTGATTGATAGAGGGATCTTTCTCCTCGACTCAGTAGTTTCAGGGGTTGAGCATTTTTTTAATTTAAAAACAATACTTTTCTATATTATTGTGTTTTTCTTGATATACATCATCTGTCATAACATTGTGCAGCAAACAGTAGTAATGCCTGAACAAATACATACATCCCCCATTAAATACTTGTTGCATCCATTCAAATCTGAGCATCAGAGTCAGCATTTCTGATAAGTAGTGTATTATACACATTTCACCTCAAACAAACATCATATACTTGTTACAGTAAAGCTCTCTATTTCTGACAGAATCAGACTTTACTACATAGTTACTTACACTTTGCTTTTCTGTAGACCATGCATTACAAACTAAAAATGGAAAAAACAAGATTTTCATCAACTATTGCATCATTTGTTTTTCTATCTACTATATTTTATCTACGTTGCTGATGAGCTGGTGTTAACACAGACCTAGGACTCCTTCATGCCCTTTGACAGTAGCATCTCATTGGCTACTTTCACTCACTGCAACATACACAAATGGTCCTATGATCACATCGTCAAAATCCTGAAGAGACTCTAGTATCTTAACCACATCACTCATAGCTGGCCTTGGATAGGGGTGGTGGCTCAAACATTTATAGGTCAATGCAGCAACCTTCAAAGCTCCTTTCCTAGGAAACTGCCCTTCTAATCTAGGGTCTATTATATGGTGCAACTTTCTTTGATCTCTCAAAAGAGGCCTTGCCCATTCCACAAGGGTTCGTTCTCTATTGGGTCGGCACTTATCCACTACCCTTCTTCCTGTAAGCAATTCCAACAAAACGACTCCATAGCTATACACATCACTCTTGGTGGAAAGGTGACCTGGGGTCAGGCAATGAATTAATCATGCGATTCTTGAGAAACAAAAACAAAAATCACTGAGTTTGAAAGATCTTTGAGCCTTTGAAATTAATCAAGTTACCACAAAAGGCAAAGTTAATGACATCTTATGTATACCTGACATGATGTACTCAGGGGCAGCATAGCCTCGGGTTCCCATTATGCATGTTGTCGTTACATGTGTGTCTTCCCCTTCAGGACCATCTTTTGCTAGCCCAAGATCTGATAATTTAGCCGTGTAATCCTGGATTTGTAAAGATAAAATAAAGAGTTTGTCTTTTAATCATGATTTTTCATACAATCTTTTACAATAAATTTTTGAAGTTCTAGAAAGATTTCTGATTAGTTAGACAGCGTATCAACATTAAAATGTAACATAAAATAAACAATCATATATACTGTAAAAACTTCTTGTTGCATACAAGAAGATGATGTAGGCCATTAGAAGATATCTTATCATCCGTCAGAAAAGATATTGAACATACCGAGTCAAGTAAGATGTTTGAAGTTTTGAAATCTCTGTATATTACAGGTTTATCTGCTTCGTGAAGGAAGGCCAGACCCTTAGCTGCACCCAATGCAATCTTCATCCTGGTTGACCATGGCAAGGCAGCAGAGTATCCTGCTTGAATTAGAACAAAACTTAGGCTTAGTTTATATATACCACTGAATCAATCAGAATACTCACACAGAATAACCCAGGGACTTTGTACTTGATTACGCTCCTTCCTTGATGGGGATAAGAAAGAGAAAAATAGGTAGAATAAAGAAAAACATCATTACATACTTCTGAATAGTTGATTCTCCAAGCTGCCTCTAGCCATGTATTCATACACAAGAAGCCTGTGCTCCTCCTCACAACAGTAGCCAATTAACTTAACAAGATGTGGATGCCTCAGCTGTCCAAGAAATATAATCTCCGCCTATAGAAGAAAATTATGTGCCAAGCTAGTGTCAGATATTCTTCAACCATGTTTCATTAGCTAGATTTTATTCATTGGACTAGTATATTTAAATTGATTTACGACTATATTAGAATGGGTTGAAGCAAAAAATGCAAACAGACTAACCAGCCACTCCCTGTGACCTTGGAAGCCATCCAAGTTCAGTTGTTTTACTGCTACAGACTGAGCCTTCAAACCAGGCCTAAGTTTGTCATCAACAAAACCTTTGTACACAGGTCCGAACCCTCCTTCACCCAGAAGATTACTCCATGAGAAATTATGTGTTGCTTCCCTTAGCTCCTCTAGGGTGAATGTGTAAAGCTTTGGACCAACAAGGGAAATGGAAAGATCTTCAATGGCCTGAGGGGAGCTAGGAATGCTTATATCCGAGAGGCATAACCTTTGGAAAGAACCTTGTTTCAAAACCTGTTTCTCTGATTCCTGTAAGGAACTTTGAGTCTTGTAACAGTTTAAGATCAACACAATAGACTTCCATGTAATCTTTTTAGAACTCATTTAGAAAAACCAGTATGTGTATGTATGTGCAATACTCTGAACAAAACCACTTCCTTTGCTCTTAAGCCTAGGGAATTATAAAGACAACATAGAAAATGACTTAACTGATAATATTAAAAAAATATATGAAGGGTGAGAAGTTTGTAGCACATACATTCTCCCAAGTCCTAACTACCCTTAGAAAAAAAAAAAACATAGAAAGATTCCTTGACTTCTAGACCTCTTTCTGAATTGGGATGCCATGCCATATTGCCCCTTGGCAGAGTAATACTACATGCATGAATGACTTTTATTTTATTTGCTGTTACAATATTTTTATGACATAATTATAATTGTTGTCCTATTTTCAATTGATTAGATGTCAAGAAACTCGACTACCTATAGACTTCAATGTTACCCAACACTTCTCCAACCCCTTACAAACATGTATCCAATCTCTATTTTGTCTCCATAGCCATTTAGTCGTACACTTATTTTTGTATAGCTGTTGATGAGCATTCCAGTGAAGGTCTTACAATTTGACATAATTTGCCAGGTGCAAAACCAACAATTCCATATTATCGAATCTTTTAGCACATTAGACGGTTTTCTTTGTTTATTCAATTGATACATTTCCCAGTTTCTGGTAGGTCACACTTTTCTCTATTGTTGTTGTTAACATGTCAACTTCAGACATGGCAGCCCGACAATAGACTCTCCTTTGCAATTTTTAATGTGGTAATCAAGGATAGCTTCCTGACCGAGGATACTAAGAATTTAGTATTCATAGAATCCTAATAAATCCATCAAATACATCTCCTTGGTCTAGGCCTCAGTTTCAGAAATAACGACGAAAAACTTCAAAAGGCTTGAGATATTTTAAAATTGTCGAAAGGGAAAAATATACCAAAATAAAAACAAAAGGATAGGTAGCCTTCACAAAGGTCAAAGAGAAAGGGTGAACCAATCAATCTAACCATTAACCACTTCTATCCCCAGTGGAAAATTGCCAAAACTCTACACAACTTATTATGCTAATCGTTGCATCATTCTTTGACAATTGAATTGCCCTTTCCAAGTGCTTAAAGACCATAAGTATGACCAAAATAAGAAAGGGGAAAAAGTTATATATATATATATATACTTTAATTGTGTAAACTTGTGTTCAGTATGAAAGATAAATTAGCTTTGAAAACACTCAAGCCAACAGCCAGAGTTCCGGTACATGTTAAACTTCAGATACTGAACATTGTGGAGGTCATTATCAGGGTAATGAGTTGTATCAGGGATTGTAGTAGGTAAGTTAAAAAGTTAAAACCAACGTTGTTTCATTCCACAGACTCAACTTCTGCAGAATAAAAGTTCATGTTACCTTAAATCCTACTAAACTTTGCATGAATTCTTGATTTTTCTTATTTTTATTTAATGTAAGACTTGTATTCCTGACTGATGCAAGTTAATAACTTAATGTCACGGTGTGGCAAACTGCAATGTAATTGCTAGTAAGTGTTGGGTAGATGTCATTTGTCTGTTTGATTCTGGTGTTTCATAGTTTTCCCGCAACAAGTGCAAGAAGAGTTCAGTTCCATGCTTGGAACAGGAACATGTGATGACACTCTAAAATCAAAACTGGCTTCTGTGTCTCTACCAGAACAATGTGAAATTTCTAATCATTTTTTCAATGGCCGCGTAAGAATTAAGGGATACAAATTTACAGATTCTCTTCAACCCTTTTTCTAGGATTTTATGTGATTTTTCTTCTCTTCCAGATCTAGCCATCTATCTACCCGTCATAACAGGACTCCTCAAACTTTCGAAATAATCATTTTACTTTTGAAAAAGTTACTTCCACATTACATACTTGGGAAATTTTCTGAAATAAGCTTTTCGAAACTACCGAAACAACATTTTAATTTTCAAAATATAATTTTTGAAGCAAAATTTTCAAACATATAAATATGTTCTGAAATAAATTTTTTGGATTGGAATTTTTGAAAAGAATTATTCGAAACCCATAAAATATGTTCCGTATAATGAATTATCCGGAATACCCATATATGAAATATATTCTGAAAAAAAAAATCAGAATAGGTTTTTTTCTTCATTTTCTTATTTTGTTTCTTTTCTTTATATGCAGCTTTTCTTCATTTTCTTATTTTGTTTATGTCTTTTCATAGTATTGTGGGGGAGGGGGGGTGCAGGAAGCAATAGCCTGCAAACTATATTGTTCTTGTCGCCCAGCTACTATATGGGCTCCTTTGATCTATTTACTAAACAGGTCCATGCTATTCACACTTCCCCTTCTATTACTCTTTGCACTCCTCTCAATTTTTGAACAGAAAAAATTATCAGAACTAAAATGAAATACAAAACAAATACTTAAATAGTAGAACCCTTTCACGGTCTATAGACGAGAATTCCAAAGCATGTGTGAAACTCGAAAGTCCTATCAAACATTCCATACAACTTTGTTAACATTTCTTTTTATGGTTTAACTTTCTTTAACATATATAAATCATGAAAGTGGGACTATCATTATCCTTTATATGAAAATTTGAGCACTAAAAAGGGCATATAACCTTTTCTTTTCTCATAAAAGCAGTACCTATAATTAAGATGCGTGTCAGTTTTTCGGTTGATGGGAATTAATTAACACTGTCCGAAGTTAAGTTGAAAATTCATGTTTTATTTATTCCACTCACGCTAGCAATCAGTCTCCGTGATCCAAGAAACATTTTCCCCGAATCATTATAGTTAGTTCAAGATTAGAATGGTACATGCATATAAAATATAATGTTATATTATTATTATTATTAATAATAATATAATCAGGATAGTAGTTTTAGTCAACGTGAGCAAGAAGAAGCGCGTCCCATTCATAAAAGTTTCCTCTTACTGGCATAACTCATTCTCTGAACCCAACGATCTTTACCGTCTCATAATTAAGAAGCTGAGTCATAAATACTCATACTCCCACCAATTCACAATACTACCTTTTAGTTGCAATCGCCAACCACAAGCTACCAGTTTTCAGTTTAAGATGCTTCCCTCATTTCTGAGCCCCGTCTCCGCCTACGGCCTCTATCTCCGCCGCTGCTTCACGGCCGCGGGCCTCTCCTCGTTCACGCTCGACGTCGATCACGAAACCACGGTTCACTTTTGGGCCCCTACCAATCCAACGGCCCAAAAGCCTGCCGTGGTTCTGATCCACGGTTTTGGGCCTGCGGCCATATGGCAGTGGCGGCAACAGGTCCAATTCTTGGCCCCTCACTTCAACGTGTACGTTCCGGACCTGATATTCTTCGGAGGGTCGAGCAGCACATCGAGCGAAAGGAGCGAAACGTTTCAGGCAGCGTCGGTGGGGAAGCTTCTGGATAAATTGAAGGTGGAGAAGTTTCAGGTGGTGGGAACGAGCTATGGAGGCATGGTGGCTTACAATTTGGCGAAGATGTTCGGGGAAGAGAGGGTTGAGAAAGTGGTGATTGCTAGCTCCGGTGTTAACATGAAAAGGAGCAACAACGTGGCTTTGGTGCAGAGGGCCGAATTGGAGAAAATCGAAGACCTCATGTTACCTGCCACACCACAACAACTGCGAAAATTGATGTCGCTCTCCGTCTACAGAACTCCGCAATTCCTCCCCCATTTTTTACTCAACGACTTCTTACATGTAACTTCTCTCTCTGTCTCTCTTTTTACAAACAATTTTCTTCCGCTTTCCAACCAACTACACCGATCGATTGATTAAAATAATAGTTCTTTTCAAAACTATAATGAATTTTGGAAATTAAGTTTCTTATAATACATTTTGACGTTTTGTAGAAACTATACAGCGAGAATCGGAAGGAAAAAAAGGAGCTTCTGAAAGGATTAACCATCGGAAAGGATGAATCTTCAACACTTTCGCCTCTTCAACAAGTAAGCATGGTGTATATTGATATGCTTAGAATTCACACACACACCGTATAGGATATTCGATCGTTACCGTGACTGATCTATATTGGTTACGATCAGGGGGTTCTCATAGTGTGGGGCGAACAAGACCAAATATTTCCCGTGCAAATGGCCCGCGAACTGAAAGAGTTTGAATTCTTTGCGTCTTTTAATTCAATTTTTTTCTTCTATTCTTCCAAATTCAATTCACATCTGTTAGGTGCTTTTTGAATTGAATTAGTGGATGAAAAATTAGATTGTTAAAAGATGAGATATTCTGTCTGTGAAGCTAATTGTGTTATTTTAATTAACATATTGCAGAATAATCAGTAGGAAGGCTCGATTGGAATTGATTAGGGAGGCATCCCATGTGCCTCAAATGGAGAAGCCAAGAGAATTCAACAACATTCTCCTTAATTTTTTGCAAGCCCATTCTTGAGTAATTTTTTCATTACCACTGCAAACTACATTAAATCCATGCTTTGTCTGGATCCATTTTTATAATTAATTATACCGCTATGTTTTTTCACTCATAACAAACATGGTATTTGATTAAAATATATCAACTAGTATTACGTTTTATTTTTAACACTTTTTCTATTATTAACTAAAATACTTTGAAAACGTTAATATTTTTTATCCTGTCATCTAGTCGCAAATTATTACGCATGGCAAAATATTGATTTTTAAAATAATTTCTTTAAAAATCATTAGGACAACTTTTCAGTGGCTAATATTTGGGTGTTGCTCCCTCCACCCCCACACATCTCTTCCTCCACCTCCCCTTTACTATTTTGCCCCTTCCTCCACCTTTCCTTTACTATTTTGCCCCTCAGTAAAATTTTATTTTTAAAATTGTTGTTTTTTAATTTTATTCATTTATAACATATTTCATTGATAACCTACGTAGTTTCTTGTATGAGTAAAATATTTTTCTACAAAGCTTGGTGATCGTGAAAAGAATTATCAAACAATCTTCTTCTTGTTCTCGGTGCAGTACGTGGTGCAGTGCGTTTATGGTGTAGTGTCCTTGTCGTGGTTCCTCTCCAGGTACGTAGTCATAATCCTTCCAATAATCCTAAACCCTAAATCCTTCCCATACTTCCAATAATCCTTTTAATATCCAAGCCTATAATCCTTGCATGAGCCGCAAAACGTAGTAAAATAAAAACGAAACGTAAAAGGAACACTGCCTATGGACGGATGACATCCTTCAACGGATGTCAACATCCGTTTAAGGCAAAACGGATGTCGACATCCGTTTAAGGCAAAACGGATGTCGACATCCGTTT